TTTTCTTTTCCTTTGTATTTTGGTCTGTGGTGTGTGCGTGCATGCATGTGTGTGCGTGCGTGTGTGTGTGTGTGTGTGTGTGTGTAGGCCAGAGGATGACATCAGATGTCTTGCTCTATTGCTCCTCACCTTAGTTTTTGAGACCAGGTCTCACTGATTTAGCTAGATTGACTAGCCAGCAAGCCCTTGGGATTTGCCTGTCCCCACTACCAGAACCCCCACACTGGAGTTACAGGCATGCACCACCTGGATTTTTACATGAGTGTTGGGGATCAGAACTCAGGTCCTCATGCTCCAGCAGCAGGCACTGTATCTGCTGAGTCATCTCCCCAACTCTTCCAACTTACTTTTGAGACAGGGTCTCTCACTGACCTTATACTTCACTGATTTGGCTAGGCCAGCTGGCCAGCAAGCTCCAAGGATCCACGTGTCTCCACCTCCCTACCCACCCATCCCACCCCACCCCTGCTGTCCCCACCATCTCCCCACCAGTACTGGGGTTACAGATAGGTACACATTGCCACTTTTTAATGGGGGTTAGAGATCTTAACTCAGTCCCTCATGCTTACATGGCAACTGAGCCACCTCCCTAGCCCCTCAACAAGTTGATTTTTACCACTCAGTAATTGCTTATCTACAATATGAAAATCACTGTCCCAGAACACCCATTTTCTTTTTTCTTTCACCTGTGCCCTTGGCCCCCAGGCATTAGACCAACTGGCTCAGCCTAAGAGCAGACATAGTGTTATCCATAGCCCCTGGGGGCTACAGGAAACCAAGACAGAAGAGCCACTTTCAAAAGCTGTGTGGCAAATTAGAAAAACAGGGTGGCATGATTCGAGAACTGCATGTGTTTGGAACCCACAGCTTCTCTTGTCCACACTCTAGGAGAATGAGCAGAGCTTCAGGGATACATCTTGTAAGTGCAAAATTTCCAACAAGATCCCGATGGTCAATGACTGAGAAATCTGCTTTAAGTGGAAACGAAGCCAGATGTGGCGGTGCACACATTCAACCCCAGCACGAGGGAGGCAGAGGTAGGCAGATCTCTAAGGGTTCAAACCAGCCTGTTGTACATAGTGAGTTCTAGGTTAGCCAGGGCCCTGTTGGGGGTGGGGTGAGACAGGGACAGCAAGATGGATCAGTCAGTAAGCTCTTGCTGCTGAGCCTGATGACCTGAGTTTTATCTCCAGCATTCACAGAGTGGAAAGAGACTGAATTCTACAAGTTGTCTTCTGACCTCTACATGTATATTCCCATGCACATAAAATATAAATAAATAATAAATAAATAAATAATAAGTAAGTAAAAAATTTAAAGAAGTGAAAACAGGCCACCTTGT